CTACAAGACTGAAAATAGGGAACCAGAGATATCAATTTATAATGAAGTCAACTACAAAGCAAAAAAAAAAAAAAAAGGAATAGTGTAGATACAGAACTTCCAAATGGCAAGAAAGTCAAATAGATTTCAAGATAAAACTGTTTTAGACAGGGGAAAAATTAATTACAGGGTAACCTCAAAGAAGGAGTCCTGATGTGGCACTGTGGTGTGCTGGACTTCAAGGTTGGTTTAAACCACAAGGTTGGAAGTTCAAGCTCATCAGCCGCTCCTCGGAAACCCAATACAGGGTTGCTATGAGTTGGAACTGACTCCAAGGCACTTGACAACAACAACCTCAAAGAAATTAATACACCTGTACATCAAAATAAAAAAAGAGGAAAATCAGAAAAGACTTAGTAAACATTAACACAACAGAAATGAAAATGAAAACCCACAAATTCAGCACAGAAATCTATGTGAAACAAAGAAACCAGCAGCACCACAAAAAAACACATCGCAAAATGACAGCAACCAACTTATACCTATAATTACAATGAATAGAAATGGATTCAATGTATCAGTCAAGAGACAGAGTGATCAGAACATATAAGAAAAGAGGATCTTTCAATATGCTGTCTACAAGAGACACATCAAAAAGATGGAGACAGTCTAAATGCCCATCAACAGAAGAATGGCTAAACAAACTTTGATATATGCACACAATGGAATACTACATAACACTGAAGAATAACAATGAATTTGTGAAACACCTTACAACATGAACCTGGAGATATTATTCTGAGTGAAATTAGTGAATCACAAAAGGGCAAATATTGTATGAGATCAATGTTGTAAAAAAGCTAAGGTTTTCTTCTTAAATAATCTATGATGGTAGACACATATTAATATGGGTTATATATACAACAAGAGGCAGGCTAGTAGAGGAACGATGAAGGTAGGGGGAGACACAGGGAGGAATGCAATTTTTAAAGTAAACAGAGGTAAATACTTTTGACTGTTGGTACATGGGAGGTATTGCAACCATATAATGAAGCAAAGTACATGATTTGTTGAATGTGAAACTGATGATCGGCTCTGTAAACCTTCACTCAATTCACAAAAATAAATAAAAGGGGGAAAAAAAAGATTCCAAATAAATTCCCCAAAGATGTCAATGTCAGTTCCAGAACTGAATTATTGGTCTGTGTTTCCACCTTTAAGATTTTTGTCTGCTATTTCCATCGTCTTGAATACCTGCAATGTCTGCTAGTTGGTATCTTCATATACTTAACCAGTTTCAAAAGTTAACTTTCAAGAAAATCTCCTTAGTGACATTTTTCATATCAGAACCTTCACTTTCCTAACTTTACAGTTTAACTCCTTCCCTGTTTAATAGCTGTATTATTTTCAGAAGTTTAATAATCACCACTTACTGATGAATATTCATTAGGTGAATAAGTTAGGTAAAACACTTTCAGTAGTTACAACAGTGCCTTGTGTGGTGCTGTGGGTTAATGTGCTGGACTGCAAGGCTGGTTTGAACCACAAGGTCTGAAGTTCAAGCTCACCAGTTGCTCCTTGGAAACCCTTTGCAGGTCACTATGGATCGGAACTGCTCCGACAGCACTCGACAACAATTATTTTTGTTTGCAAGTTGCCTTCCCTAGACCTCTGTTTCTTCTAAGAACCTTACCTCCCTACTGGCCTGCATGGGGTAAGGTACTACTAACTGCACAGTCAAAAACATGGACAGGAGACTCTTTGCCAAAGTAAAAAGCGCATCAAACACGCCTAGCATTTATTATTTTAATCACAAACCTACAGACCTCATTACACCCTCTTGGGGCCTAGCCCCAGCAATCCAGAACTGACAACCTTCGGTGTATCTTGTAGGAGGGGTAGGGATGGCGTGAGTGTCTCTTCATGACTCTGAAAGGGGAGGATTCCCCTCAATAGAGAACTGGGTGAGAGCCAGAGGTTGGGGGTAACCTAGCTTCAGAGTAGGGGGTCAATAATAAAAAAAATCAGATAAACAAATAGGGGGTTCAATATGCTTTCAGAACCTTTCTTTCAAGACTCTGTTTTGGTGGTGACCTCTGCTTTTTCCTGGGCTGGGAAACTCCCAGGAATGGCCCCTTCCTTCATTCTGTTCCTCCACATTTTGAAAAAGGGTAGTGGGGTATTGGTTCCATGAACTTGGACTCAGTCTTACTAATCCCCATCACTTTCCAAAAATGTTCTTCAAGGAAGGAGGCAGGACTATGCCCAAGAGTCAGGGCGAAAGTAACTTTCGATCTAGGCTTGGAATGTCAGTCCACAAGCTTTCAAGGTCTGCTCCCTTCCCCAGTAGGTTAGGTTGGGTTGGTCCCAGGTTAAGGCAGGGGAGCTTAAGTACCACTGATTCTTGTGGTATGGAATGCTTGGATGGGATGCTGCTAAGGGTCAAGGGCAGGGCTGTGACCTCCATTTGGGGTGACTGATTTTACCAATTACTCCTTGCCTGAAACACCTGTACTGGGCTATTCCTATAGGGAAGAGGTGGGGTCTGTCTGACTTCAATTTCTAGAAGGTCAGGACTGAGTTTCCTGGGAAGGGGTGAGATTTCAACCTTACTTCAACCTTTCTCTGGGCAGAGAAGAGTTCATGAAGAAGGTACAGGTCCCAGGGGGTGGGAACTCCATCATTTCTGACTCCTGTCCTGTGCTTGGATGGACTACACTGGTGGTTCCAAGTGAAAGGCTGGAGTGAAATATTGGTATCTCCTTTACCCAGGAGGCCTGGGTAGATAGACTGTCCCTAGGGGACAGGGACAGGATCTTATCCTGTCTCCCCATATCTGGGCAAAGGTGGGTACTATGGGATAGAGGCAAGGCTGTGATCTCTAGGGGGCAGGGCCTGATCTCACCACCACCCCTAAGTCTGAAATACCTTCTCTGGGTTGTTCCTTTGGGAAAGGGGTAGGGCCTCATCTACTCCTCCTCTTTTCCTGATCACAGGGGTGGGGCTTGATCTCATCTCCTCTTCCCCCGGAACACCTGGGCAAGGCAGTTTCATGAGCGGGTGGGGGAAAAGGCAGGCCTCATCCAGATTTGTCTTTTCTGGGTGGGGAAACCCCAGGGGAGGGGTGAGGCCTGATCAGGACTCCTCCTCCATGCTGAAGCTACTACGGCGGCTGCTGGCCTTGGAGACAGCAGGGGACACTGAAGAGAGCAGGGGGTCAGAGGCAGCCCGTAGAGGGGACAGGGTGCCCCCTGACAGCCCGCCCACCACACTCTCCTCCTCCTCCATCAGAATGTCCTCCAGCCCCAGGTGGAAGGGGTCCCCCAAGTCCCCCAGGTGGTCGCTGGGGAAGTGCAGGTCCAGAAGAGCATCTGAGGGTGGCGCTGGGGGCTGCTGATGGGGAGTATTTGGGGCAGGTGTACCCGCCACATGAAATGTGCCTGGCCTGCCCTCCTCTTCAACATCCAGCTGCTCTGGCTTGAGGCTATCAGAGGCTGAAGTCGTGGCCAGGGAGAGTAGCCCTGGAGTGGGAGGTACTGGCAGGCCATGGATCTGGGCCTGCAGTTCTAGCTCCTGTAAAAAGTAAAGGGTGAGTACACAATAAGGAGGGATTCAAAGTCCCTCAGAGGCAGAGGAGTGTAATGGTTAAAAGGGCAGGCTGCCTGGGTTCAAAGTTCAGCTTTGCCACTTACTAGTTGCATCAATTTAGGCAAGTCAGGCCATAGCTATGAGCCTCAGTTAGTGCCCCTGTCCACAAAACGAGTATAATAATGGACCCTCTCTCGTAAGGATTAAATGAGTTAGTATACATCAAACTTTTCTTGCAGTGCATGGCACAAGATAAATGCTATATAAATGAGCTAATATTCATTATTATCCATGTAATGTTATGATTATTACTTAGCAGCAACAGCATGTGTGTTAGGAAACCTGGGGATGTGCTAAGTATGCTAGGAAGGGAAATTCAGGCCTATCCTTCCTCTGCCTCTGCTTCGGCTTATAAGATGCTCACTTGCACTGCCCTCTCATCCCTCCAGACCTGAATTCGGAGCTGCAGGCTACGGTTGGCCTGTTCCAGGGATCGCTGCCGGCTCTCCAGGTCTTTGGAGCGCTGTTGCTCCTTCTGCAATTTGCGAATATAATCCACAGAAGCCTTCAGGATGGTGCCCTTGTTCCAGCGCATCTCCCTATGGAACCCAAAGGGGAGGAAAGAAGGAAAGGGAGTGTTGTATATGGAGTTTCTCAGGAGCTGAGAGAGGGGACCAAATCACGTGGATAGACCCCACCAACACATGCCTGGAACCTTCCAATGGTGCCCAGCACACTCCAGATCCAAGAAGGTCCTCCCTGACCTGACTCCTTACTGCTCATCTCTTACCTAACCAAACAAAAACCAGTTGCCATTGAGTTAGTTCCAACTTGTGGTGACCCCATGTATGTCAGAGTAGAAGTGAACTCCATAGGGTTTGCAATGGTTGGTTTTTCAGAAGTATAATCACCAGGCCTTTCTTTGGAGGTGCTTTTGGGTGGATTGCAAACCATCAATCTTTCCATTAAGAGCCAAGCACTTACTGATTTATGCCAGCCAGGACTCTACCTCTTACCTGTCGCCTTTTAATTAATCTCAAGACAACCACATTGGTTTCATAGTGCTCCTTTAACATGGAGAACCATTTTCATCTCAGGGTTTCTGTTCTGATGCGCCCTCTGCTTTGAACACTCTTCTCCAGAGATCGATATGGCTCCCTACCTTACCTCTTTACGCTACTTATTTAAATATTTCCTTGTCAGTTGAGGCCTACCCTGATCCACTCTCCAAATCCAAAATTGCAACCCTCCTGTTATAGATTGAATTATGTCCCTCAAAAGTATATGTTGAAATCATAGCCCCCTATACCTGTGAACATGAGCTTGTTTGGCAACAGGGTCTTTGACAACGTTATCAGTTAATATGAGGTTATACCAGACTATGATGGGTCCTAATTCAAAATGAGTGATTCCTGAAAAAATAGAAGACACAGAGAGACAGAGGAAAGACAGGCAATGTGAAGATGCATTTTTACACACCAAGGAATGTTTGGGGCTACCACAATATTGGTGGTTCAGTGGTAGAATTCTCACCTGCCATGCAGGAGGCCTGGGTTTGTTTCCTGGCCAAGGAAGTGGACATGCTATCTGGAGTCCTGGTGTGGCACTGTAGGATAAGCACTCGACTGCAAGGTCAGTTTGAACTGCAAGATTGGTGGTTCAAAAATCCTATACAGGGTCATTATGGGTCTAAACTGACTCAATGGTACTTAACAACAACAACAATCAGAAGCTGAGAGCCAAGAAGGATCTTTTCCTAGAGCCTTTAGAAAAAGCATGACTCTGCTGATACCCAGAGTTTCAACTACTAGTCTCCAGAACTAAGACACACATTTTTATTCGTATAACCCACCCTAGTTTGTAGTGTTTTATTAAGGCTACCTTAGAAAACTAATACAGATTTTGGTACTGGGAAGTGAGATGCTACTGTAACAAATACCTACAAGAAGTGGCTTTAGAAATGGGTATTGGGTAAAAGATGGAGATGTTTCGAGGCACTTAATAGTAAAAGCCTAGATTGCTTTGAAGAGGTTGTTGATAGAGTTATAGACATTGAAGGCAATTCTGATGAGGAATCAGAAATATTTATGGGGAGTTGTAGAGAAAGTTTCTATCATCATGAATAGAATGTTGCTAGAAATGTGGATGTTAAAAATGCCTTTAGTGAAACTTTAAAAGAGATGATGAAAATATTATTGAACACCAGAGGCAAAGAACTTGGCTTTGTTTTGTCTGAATGTTTTCTGGAAAACAGAACTTGAAGATTTGGAACATTCTTAGCCTATCCATATTGTGAAAATTTAGAAAGCGTGCTCAGGAAAAAGCTCCAAGGGTGTGGCTGGATACTGTTTGCTAAAGAGATCCAATAAATCATCTCAGTCAGCTTAGACTGAAGGGAACGAAATAAAGTAGAGCTGTTGGACTACTGGGATTCCACAGGCAGAAAAGGAGCCAACAGAGCTGCTTGACTCTAAACACCTGCTGTCCTTCAAGAAAAGGAAAGGATGATCACAAAAGTAGTTCAGAGGCTAGCCAGGGTTTCTCGTATGGATCTAGAGTAGAGGGGTCAAGGCTACTGCCCATGTGAATTCAGAGGACAGGATTAATTTCAAGTCTTGCAATCTAATGGAATTTTTCCTGCTGGGTTTTAAACTTGGTTTGGGAATGTGACCCCTTCTTTCCCTCCAATGTCTCCTGTGTGGAATGGTAATGCTTATACCATCCCTGAAACATCATTATACAAGGGGGCTTTAAAAGGTTCATGGGGAAAATGGAATTAAAAGGCAATGGATAAATTTTAAAATCTATAGGCAACTACAACACCTCTACATGAAAAAGACAAGTAACCCAATTAAAAAATGGGCACAGGACATGAACAGACACTTTACCAAGGAAGACATATGGGCAGCCAACAAACATATGAAGAAATGTTCACAATCACTAGCCATTAGAGAGATGCAAATCAAAACAACAATGAGATGTCATCTCACACAAGCAATAACAGTGAAGTTCAAAAATGCAGAGAACAATAAATGCTGGTGAGGATGTGGAGAGACTGGGACCCTCCTACACTGCTGGTGGAAATGCAAAATGGTCCAACCACTTTGGAAAATAGTATGGCACGTCCTCAGAAAGTTGGAAATAGAAATACCGTATGATCTAGCAATTCCTCTACTTGGTATAAATCCACAAGAAATATGAGCCATAACATGAGTACATATATGCACACAAATGTTCATAGCAGCACTATTCACAAATAGCAAAAAGACGGAGACAGCCTAAACAAACGGATAAACAAACTGTGGTACATACGCACAGTGGAATATTATGCTACACCTTGAAGAATAACAAGGAAGCTGCAAGCCACTGCATAACATGGATGAACTTTGAGGACATTATGCTGAGTGAAATTACTCAGTCACCAAAGGCCAAATATTACATAAGACCATTATTGTAAAACCTTAAGAAAAGATACCCATACTAAAAGGGGGAAAAAAAAATTGTTGGTTACTGGTGAGGGTAGGGTGGGGGGCGGTTTGGGGGAGGTTCAGGCAGGTGACAGAAAGGCACAGGGTAGAGGGCAGACACATCATAGTTCGAGTGTTGGGGAGGGCAATAAACAAGAAGGGGGAGGGTGGAGGAACAAGGTAGATATGGGAACACTGAGACAGGTTTGCATGGGCTAAACGGGACAGAGGTAAGTATTGATGCATGCTAAACCTTGGAACAACAGGGATCGAGGCATACCCTGACGAGGGAAAATAATACTAAGACGCTGGACTGTCTTATGAACATTGGTTTCCCTTGCCAACTATTGTAAAATAGACACTTGGATGGTATAGAAATGAATGTCGGGAAACATGATTACAGAAAGCTTGTAAGTCCGTCTAAAGCCTATAACTGACTGGAATACCTAAAAGGAGTTCTACAGCTTGCCCAGTGAAATAGACCTCTTACGGAGCCTTTGCACTGTATAGGACCTTAGGAGGAATCCTTAGCCCCATCCAGAACCTTCTGAGGTTTATCAAGGACAAGCAGACAAGCCTGGAACAGCTAGAGCGACAGAAGATACATCTTCTAAGAAAGATCATCAGGAAAAACCCAAAACAAAAATGGCAGTATGACTGGCTACTACAAGAATAAGGAAAGAGAGGAACAAACAAGATGGCAGATCGGGTGGACGTATAGCAGAGAGCTGTGCCAATAACAACACAGAATACCCGACCAAGCAGGCTCAGGGGATGGTGCCAGAACTCTGAACCACATATAAAGGAATACTTAGAAGGTTGGAAGGCTCACAGCTGGGGGAATTTGTGGCAGAAGCAAGAAATCTA